TTCCCCTCACCCATCCCACTGCTGTAAAACTCCTTCTATAATAAATACGCATGACTTCTGGCCATCAGGGCTGCAGTCTGGAGTTTACTCTGGCTGTAGCCGGCTAAGAACATGCTAAGGGCATGAGGTCTTAGTCTGATTCCTGTTCACCCGCGTCGCCTCCCTGTGCACCCACCCCGGCTCGGGGTACAGCTCCCGGGACAGGCCCACCACACTTTGTTGTCCTTGTCATCATCACGTCATGGTGGGGAAGAACTTGTGATCTTTGCTTTTATAAGCATCCCTCTCCTTTCACTGAGAGCTGCGGGGGTTTTGAGAGACGTAAGCCCCCCCACTATGCGGCCAGCTTAATCAATAAACTCTAATAAATTTGGTATGTCTGCATGTCCTCTTATTTCTCACTGAGTAGACTATACCGCTTCCTCGCCTCCCAGCTGGGCCCCTCTGCCCACCCGGCAATCCCCGCGGTGGAGCACGGCCCACAGTGACAGGGTGAGTGGAGACGGGCCTCGTCTTGTTTCGACACAGGGTCTGCATCTCGTCCCAGAGGAAGGGCCCGATCTATTTCGGGCTCTCTGCCTTCTCCCGGCTCCTCTCTGCATCATTTCAGCTCGCTGGACCTGCAGAACTGCTTCCAGGTAGCCAGCTCCCCGTAGGACATGCAAATACAAACAGCCTGGCTCACCCCACTGCCCGACCCCCTGCTCGGATGTGCTTTTAGGCCACAGCGAGCACTCCTAGGTCACAGCATGACCCATGGGACTCAGCTGGCACTCTAGGCGAATGGATCGGAACTCCCCTAGGAGAACTGCTGTGCGACACCTGGACCCCAGTAAGGGCCTCGTCCCTGGATCCACCTGTCTCTGGGTCTCCACCTGCTGGGCAAGGGCAGGCCCCACCTAGAGCCTTTCAACAGCCCTGGGCATCCTGGCCCACTGGGTCAGTTAGCATCTGTGTTCCACTGTGTGGCCTGCTCTGTGTCCCACCTGGGCCTCCTTTTTTCCCAGTCAAGGCTGTCCTAGAGAGTGGCTCTCTTGGGACCAGCAGTTAGCGTAATGGCTATGTTGCTGGACTCCCATGTAGTCAACCGTGGTTCGAGTCCCGGACCCGGCAGCTTAAACTCACACCCGGCGCATGTACATGAGCCCAAGATCCCAAGAGGAGAATGGAGGAGAAGGGATTGCAGTGTGGCCATCCCCCCTGGGGGGGTGCTGTCTCTCTGTGTCTCTCTGTCTTTCTGGCAAGTGCACGCACCCTATAGCAAAAACCTCTCCAAAAAAAAGAGAGAGAGAGAGGCTATCTTAATGATTTTTTAAGTTTGTTTCTTTCTTCCATGAGCAAGAGAGATAACAATGGCACCCCTGTGGGGTCCTGACCCTGCCATCTTCCCCCAGCTTCCCCAGTCCCAGATCACAGGCATGGGCATGTTGGGAATACACAGGGTGGTTTCCAAACTTGAGCCTCCAACCTTCCCACACGGGTGAGCCTGGGAGTGTCATGTTTTACAATTGTGCCATGATTGTCCCCCCACCCCACCCCAAGAGCGGCTATCGTGATAGGAACAGACTGGAATCTGGTCAGACAAGTTGCCAGAGTCGGCCAGCTGTGGCAAGGTCACCGTGAGAGGGACACCGGGTAGTGAACCGGGCCCAGGGGTTAGGCCACCCACCAGGACAAACTAGTGTCCTGGGAAGCTGTCCGGACCGTGGGGAGATGGGCCAGGGCTAGAGCAGAGCCTCTCTGCAGAGAGACGGCGGGACCAAATCAGATGAAAATAGCAGAGCGAGCTGGAGAAGCCGCAGCGGGGGGTGCGAAGTGAGAAGCGCCGGATGAGAAAGGCGCTCCTGCCGGCTCTGTCGGTGCGAGGGTCGGGAGCCCCGCGCGGTGACGGCGGAGATGACAGCTGTCGGGGCAGCGCAGAGGGGGAAGCACGGATTGCGGGCGCCGCGGAGCGTGGATGAGGCCCGGGTGAAGGGATGCGCGCGGGGCCCGCCAGACCACACTGGATTCGGGGTGGGGTTGGGGGTTCCCCTCGCGCGCTCAGCTCCACCTGTGAGTGGCGCCGTCCCCGCCACGCGGCGGGGTCGTGGCCG